TTTTTTCCTCAGGTGAAAACAGCTTTGATAAAAGCAAACTAGTGGTGAGAAAACTTAAACCTGCTTTTTTAAATATGAGAAATGTTTTGCATGTACATTTCCTTATATTATTACATTTAAATTGAGAACTCTAGGCTGAGAATTCTTGTTTCTAAAGATGGGATTCTTTCCCTGTGCAGAACTCCAGCCAGTCCAGTTTGGATGACAGCTTGGACGGTTCTGAAACTTCATCTTTGCAGAATCCGCCTCGGCAGAGGGCTCACAGAGGTAGGAATGTTTATTCAACGAAGATCACAACAGTATGGAGAATTAAATGCATTCAAATCTTCTGTTTATTTAAAAAAAAGACATCCAAATTTATTAGTCCATTAACATTTATTCTTTCTCTTATCTCCCTTTCCAGTAGAAGCAGTGCCTAATGGAAACGCTTCAGGTTCCAGCAGTCTGCAGCAAAGTGACAGCTCGTCTTCAGAGGAGCTCTCAGAGTCAGGTAATGTTCACATACACAAGCGGTCATGAATTTGCACAAAAACAAACTGTGCAAAGCTTGGGTAAAAAACAAACTGTGCAAAGCTTGGGTAAAATCTTACCTGGAAAAGTGAATGGGCCGTAATATTTCTGCTGTTTACTCTCCCTGTAGGTGGATGGTGGATATCTAACGTGACTGAAAAAGCCAAGTCTCTGCTGGTTCAGAGAGAGTTCACCTCACTCAACACTCTTCTTTTTATTTACTTGATTTTGTAAGTGGCACCTTCCTTCTAGTATTTTGTCTCCCTCCTTCCTAACTCCTTTAATACCAGTCTTCATCTCCCTGTTTGCTAATCTCTGTCTGCTGGTGCTGAAGTTGGTGCAAAAGGGAAAGCATGAGGCTTTTCACAAGCTTGTAAAGCAGATCGCGAATGATAAAAAAAGGATACAATTCTGTCAAATTCTGTTATGCATGTCAAAGCCATATAATCTCTGTGATCGCATAAGTCGGTACTTTTTCCCTGAAAAGAATTTGGTTTTTTTTATGCTAGTTTGGTGTCGTGTAGCAGCTGGAACAAAGGCTGTAAACAGTGGTCTGATTTCTGCATGTCTGTGTTGCAGGGTGGTACTGCTGCTGCTGTCTTCAGGTTACATCGGTCTCCGTATCGTGGCCCTTGAGGAACAGCTTACATCCCTGGGTGCGCTGCCAGAGTTCAGCTTACAGAGCGGGTAGGATGTCTTTTTAGTTAAATCTGAGAAGTTATTTAGATCCAGATTAATAGTAATGCAACAGAAATGTAACAACCAAAAGTTCTTATAGGTACTAATGATGTGTCATGTAGCAGTGCCACCTAGTGGACAGTTCTGGTTGACTTTTTCTTTTGGTGGTGCAGATTCCCTGTCATCCAGGTCATAGTCATTCCAAAAAAAGTAAAAAAAAAAAACAATAGAGTTTGTTTCCAAGTTTGGAGATGTTTCGCTTTGCATCCAGGAACCTCAAACTCAACGCCTTTTCTGACATTTTGAATTAAAAAAGCTTCCTGGATGCAAAGCAAAACATCTTCAAACTTGGAAACAAATTCCAGTGGTTTGTTTTGTAACTTTTGGTTTGTCTTTTGGTATTTTTTTTTGTTTGTTTTTTAAATTTCTTTTTTAATTAATAGAAACTCTACTTTGGTTCTTATTAATGTCCTCATAGTTAGTCTCTAGACCTCACATATTCATGTTGCACAAAACTGTAAATGTAAGTTGGGATTAAACAAGCAGAAAAAATAAGGTAGAAAATGTATCATAAAGTTCTGACAAAGAAACAAGTTTTGTTTCACTATCATTCTGTCTAATATAAATGTTTTGTTGAAAACTGTTTGTCATTTATATACAATGATCAAATGTTTCTTTCTCTTGATAGGTATAACAAAAACACATAACCCTCAGCGAAGGGAGGAGAGATGTGCGGACCTGTGATTGGAAGATCATTTCTACTCTTCACAGCTGGAAGGCAACCATTATTGTGCTCTGAAAATGGCCTGCACTGTTATGAAGAGAAAGAGTAGCAACCCTGTGCTGAACTTGGAGAGATCTGCTTTCTTGGAGTACAGTAAATAATCTGATATGTTGCAGCTTTGAAAACCCAGAGCCAAGCCAAAAAAAAAAAAAAAAACTCATGTTGCCTGGTTGCAGTGTGCCAGTTGTTCAAACCAAAGCCAAAATGGCTCCAACTCAGTGAAGTGCCACACTAGCCAAGTCAACTGGCACTTTGCTACCAGAACTTTCTCACCATCTGTGAACTGATGTCGCTCATTGTCCTGTTCTAAAGCATGCAATCTGAATAGGGCTATACTGATCAGCATTAGCCTGCTGTAGTGCTTATTACTGCACGTCAACACTGGAGACGTAGTTCTATGCATAGCCAAAGATGCACAAAGTGCACATCTTATGCATGAGTGCACAGAGAGATTTTTTTTCCATCTCTTTAAGCTTTCATCTCGAAGCTGACCATTCAGTCCTGTCTTCGTCTCTACATTCAGCAAGTTTGGGGTACCTTAAAGCGCTCTTTAGTGGCTGTGAGTTGAAATGTTGATTTATAAAATCTCAGCCCAACAAGGCTTCATTTCTTGATGGCCCTATCCTTTCTCTCTGATTCAAAACTGTAGTGATTAACTTTCCTGTTGTTTGGCATGATTTAAAGATGTTTAATGATCAATGCTCAGATGTTATTTTCCTTTAAGACTCTACTGGATCAACGCACAAATACTGAGCACAACAGGACAAGTGAAAGTTGTCCCAAAGGCATCGATTTTGGTCTAAAAGTAGAGTCAAGTCTGTCTGCTTCAGGTGTCTGTTTGTTGTAGCGTCTTCTTGCAAAAATAGCATTTTGTTGTTGAGCGACATGCTTGTTCAGGACCAATTACCAATAATGTATTTTTTAATGTTTGTGTCTGCAGTTATCGACACTGTACTGATTGTGTAGATGCGTCAGCGGGAGGATTAATGAATAGTGCTTAAAGGTCCAGGTTTTCAAATGCAAAAAAAAAGTGGTCCCTAAAAGAAATTTCACTCTGCAAAAAGAAACTAATATGCATGGAAAAATGTAACTTATGTTGTGCAGTTTTTAAATGAACCTTTTGTTTGTGGGGAAGAGGCAATCCAACAAAATAAACTTGAGCGAAAGTAACAGCTCAACTATTAAGCAAGCGCACTTTAAGAAAAAAAAAAAATAAAATCAAACCATGCATTGTGCCTGTCACAACCCCAAACACTTTGGTTTGACTGAAGAGATGGCGTAGCAGATTCTGTGGTGTTTGATGGTGCTAAGCCCTTTTTTTAAAAAGTTGATTTAACTCAGGGTTGGCGGGCTACTTCCTGCCAAGGTTTCAGTTGCTACACTTTGTCATTTCACCATGTTGTGCTCATGATGGGTTTCTAAGTTTTCACCTGTTTAGTTATTCCTTTAGAGTCCATGCAGGGACCTTAATTTCACTTGATTTTAACTGATAAATCTACTTTTATCTCAGAATGCTTGATTTCTTTTCCCTTTCCTTTCACCATTTTTAACTTAACCAGTTATACCAATACTACATTTTATAACATAAGCATTATTTTAGACGCTCTGTCTGAGAAGCAGCAAGTGTGTCAACTTTTGCTCTATCTTCAACAATGCGAGTCCTTTTCATAATGTTTAGCATACTTTGTTCTGCCATGCCATTTACAGTACTGTCGGTTATTGTATTCCCCACCAGGGGGCAGCACATGCAACCGTTGTCCTCAAAAGATCCATTTCAAGACTCTGAAGGGCAATTTTGTGTGATCTTTTTTTTTTTTGCACTATTCAGAGCATTGTAAATAGTTTTGTACCAAATGTTAATACTTTAATTATACGTTTGCTCTCGCTGTATAAATATATTTATTTGCATTGTGTAATTTAAAGTAGTCTCCGTGAGATTGCTTTCTACTGTTAAAAATAAAAAAATTTGAAATTAAAATTTGGTGTGTTTGCCTTTATTATTGAATTAGTTTTAACATTGTTTCTAAACTTCAGGGATAGAAAGAATGAAAAGAAATGGAAACAACTTCCTTAACCGTGGTAAAAATTCTAAGTCAGTTCTGATCTAGAGCAGAATAATAAACCGACGCAAACAAAACAGATTTGTAACGTGGAAATAAAATCTATTATTGCCTGTAGTTTTTGTTTTCACTATGATGTGAGTGTAATTTATCTATTTTTAATAGATTTTTAACTATCTCAAAGACGTTATGTTAAGAACTTGGATGAAAAGGATTAATAACCCTAGAAATAAGGCCTAAAATAATTACATTAGAATAAAGTGCATACTTTTCAGAAGACTGTTAACTGAGCCCCTCTAACATCATCTTCCATTAAAACTGTTTTGGACATCTATCCAGTCTTCAAATATTTTGCAGCCTCTACTATTTTTATTTTTTGTTTTGGAGGGGGCGTTGTCTAGTATTTTTAATATGTCCATCTTTCCATCAGCTTTGACCAGACTCTCCTTGCTTCACCACATGACACCTATGGCAGATCATACTTTTCCTGGTGCCTTTGGTTTCTGTTCATTTAGTTTTTAACACCACAGACTAACTCCTTTTGCAGAAAGAAACTGATGATCAATGCTGCATTTATATCTGTGGAAAAATACACTGCAAAAACAATCTAGAAATAGGTAAAAATTTCTTTAATTCAGTTTTTTTTTCCTTTATTTTTGGCGGTTAATTGGGTTGTTTTGCCATTGTGATTATTTTTTTTCTTCTTATAATATGATTATTTGATATGCTGTTGTTGTAATACGATGCGGTTGTTTTTTTTTCTTTTTTTTGTTGTTTGTTTTGTTGTTTTGTTGGCGTGTTTTCTCTCCTCCTTTCTTCAAGAACTGTTGTTCTTTTTTTAGGAACTTATTTTTTTGGTTTTCATTTTTTTGCAGTGTATTCAGATTTCTTGCATGTTGAGCTTCTTTGTGCATTTCAACAATGTATAGTTGCACTGAACAGACATAAGTTTTTTTCATGTTTTTATTACACTCCTAGGAAGCGAAAGCAGCAATGATCTTCATTCCAACAGTCTGGAGGACCATCTGTGTGCTTTTCCTGTTCAGCTCTCCGGGTTATTTGGAGGAGGGAGTGCAGCAGAGGTCTGCCGATAGGCACAGAGCTGAAACACACCTACAAGACATGGAGATATGCTTACAAAAAAGAAGAAAATGGTATCCATCATTAAGCTTATTAAATAAGGTTAGGTATCTTGATGTCTCATTTTTTTCTATGTTTACTTATTGCAAATGTGTACATCAGATAATTTCATCCTTAAAAAACAGTCTTTTTTTTTAAACAATCATATGCAGGAAGATTTGTTAGACAGAAATCCATATGTCTGTTATTCAAATGGGTTTTACCAAAACTTTAGGATTTTTAGGAATATGAGGTAAAGCAGTTCTGCACAAGGAAGCACAAATTCAAAATAAAGAAATACCCATAATAGCAAACATTGAGTCAAAAACTATATAAAGAACAAAAACCTGCTGCAAAAGCCAAAATGGCAGCCACCCAGCCTATGATGTAGGACCAGGAAAAACGCCAGTCCAGAAAGCGTTTCCCAAAGAAAGTGACGGTCACTCCTGTGTAAACAGCCAAAGCCAGCAGAGCAAGAAAACCTTGAACAGGGGACAACAAATACATTAGTTTAGAGAAAGCATAAGGATAAGGACTTCCTATCTTCTATTGATATTTTAGTTGCTTTAATTTATTTCAAGGATTTGATTTTTAAATTGCATTCAAATGTTCTTGTCTTTTTACTTTGTTCATGGCACATGAAAAACTGGTTCTAAGCTGCTTTTTTCTTTGTTTTTGCAGTAATGACTTTTGCAGTCGTTAAGGTCAGATTGGTACCTGAGAGAACCAGAGCGATGCCTCCTGTCCGGACCCTTCTGTTCTTGGTTCCATTGGTGAAGGCGCTAAGGCCCAGCACAATGCCAGCAAAACAGCTCAGCACTGCCAGAAGCATGAAAGCCCTGGTGGCATCCCAGAAGGCTGAAAAAACAAAAATCACACTGAATAAAAAATTTAAAAATATTCTAGCCTAAGAAACAAAGTTATCCCCTTTTATTTATAGCTTCTGTAAAAATCTTGACCTGAAACCAGTTTAAATCAAACCTCTGGGAAGCTTTTTTAAGGTACATACCTACAGTCATTGTGTGAGCATGGCATTTGTGGTTGATGCAGAACCTCCAAAGCCCTTGATTGGCTGAGCTACCTGAATAGCGGTAGTGCATCCAGAAATCTGTTGCCGTAGAAACGATGAGAAGCACCAGGGCGGCCACGCCGCACAGGGTGCCACCTCCAGCTAAAGTATACAGCATTGTTGATGCTCCTTGAAGCTCAGGGTCACCCTAAATATCCAGGAGCTGCTCGGATCAGAGAGGACAGAGAAGAAAGAAGACAATCAATGATGTTTGCTTTTACGATTCTTTTTCTGTCAGGCATCTATTAATGTCTGTTTGCTGGGTCTTGTCTGTTGATCAACTTCCCCTAGCTACAGTAGGTTTCATTAACTTCTATTTTACAAGCATGTAGATATTTACATGCTTTACAGGAATATTAAAAAGAGCACACGTTTATTGATTAAATTAAAGCACTGGATTTTTCCCCATGCATTTCAAAGCAAACCCACTTGATGTACAAACCAAAGTCATTCCTCTCAGCATGGTGTTTTTTGACAATAGGCCTGCCTGTCAGGCAGTTCAGGCCCATTGTTCTGTAATTCCCCTCTGTGCACAACAAACTAAGTTTCCAGTTCAGAGCAACAGAACTGTCAGCACCGCAACAAATCCAGAAAAAAATAAACATATTTTTACACCCCCTCCATATTACAGCACAGCTTTAAAGTAACTAAAATACTTTGATCATGCCTACAATGGCCATGTGCACCTGAATAAATCATTCTAATGTAAACTGAATGCATCTTCTAATTCTACAAAAATAATAAAAAAAACATTAAACACCATCCATTCTGTCTTTGTAGTTCTTCATCTCTACTCATTTAGCTCTCTAAGCATCTAAATCGATCAACATACTACTAGATGTATCAGAATTACAGTCTGTGTGTGATTCCAGGTTTTACCTTCAGTTTGGCCAGTCTCGCTCCAGAGTTGCTGGCTGTTAAACAGTATGCCTATCCTTTTTAAGCCCCACACCTCAGGCCCTCATTGTCCACCACACAAAAGAAGCGAATGATCGAGCGCAGCATGTGGGTGAGAGTAAATCCCTCTGCGGCCCTCCTCTTTACCTTGTAACCTTCATCACTACATCATCCTGCTGTCCGCTCTGTCATGCTTGATCCTTCTATTGCAGGATTCGTCTTGCAACGACGATAAAGAGCCAAACCTTTTTAGGGTCATACATTCAAAACCAGCAGCACTAAAGTTAGATACAATTAAACTATTAGGGACCAACACCGGTACTTCCAGCGGTTGAGAAAATTAAGTACAAGAAGACAAACGCATGCACTCTGGTACAGAAAAGATACACAAAGCAAAATGTGTGAGACAGAATGTTTATTCTCATCAAACTTACGTCGTTCCCATTATTTGTGACATCATCTATATATAATACTACATACGGCCCTTAAAAAACCCTCCTAAATCATGAACATCTGTATCATTGGTGATGCATTTCCTCCCACTGTGTGGATGCTGCTGTTTCTCATCTAGAAAGTTAATTGAAAAGTACTTCATGCTGCACAGATTAAACATCCTTATACTGTATTGGAACTGCAAAGTGCTGCATTTATGGTAACTTGACTTAACATATTGTTGGTTTTTTCTGCATCCTACTCCTGAGAATTCTCTTTCGAGGAATATTGTTTTCTAATCTGAGGAGAGCTCCAATGGTGGATTCAAAGACTTTTGTTTTAGTAAGGCAGAAATTACATTTTTTACATAAATGAAACAAACATAATAGAATAAGTCACGTTGTGTATCTGTGGCATGTAAGCTTCTTCAATGGAGTTTTTCATACGTAATATTTCTGAGCAATCTGAAGCAGCTGGACTCTTTAATGCTCAAACCCAAAGTAGTAAAGCATTTGGAGCCATGCCATCACTGCTCTTTCTAAACACAAACCTGAAAACAAGAGAGTGGGTCACAAACAGCATAGACAACAGTTGTGCTATATATTTATTCAATAATTTTTATATTTTGGAGTGGAACTTTTTTTATATATAACGAAATTTAAGTATACTCTATTACCAAACTCTATTTACCAAATTTGTTTTCTAAAAATAATTGTAAAACTAATCATTTGATATTTCTTGATGCAGGAAGGATATGTTTGGTTATGCTTTCCTAATTATACTACTTATTTATTTTTGTGTGAGCAAAACAAAACAATATCATAACAGAGAAGCTGTTATGCTTTAAAAAAGCAAACTCACTTAACGTTAGCATGATGATTTCACTCCTCCTGGTTGTGGTGGCAGTAGTATGATATGGGCTTGTTGCATCAAATGCAGGAAGGCTTATCACACTAGAAAAAACCCCCCATCTATAAATAAATAAAAACATCCTAAATTAAGTGTCTTTACCCTTAATTTGAGTTGGTAAATTAGATAGTTTGCCAATGGAATGAGTATTTTACTTTTTTTTTTTTAAATAAGATAATTAAATAATATGCACCTGAAATAAGACAATGTAATTGTAATTTCTTATTTTAAATGTAAATGATCATGTTCTATTGGCAAAATGTCTCTTTTATCTCCTCAATCCAAGAACAAATGCACTTATTTTAAGAAAAAATAACTTATTTAGATTTTAATTTTTTTCCAGTGCCTCACAAAAAACAGAAGTAAAACGCTTTAAAATACAAATTAAAATCTATAATTGGCAGAAAAAAAAGTTGATGCCTTAATTCCAAAAAAAATTGTTTTTCAACAATTCTATTTTATTTTTGTTAGTAGATGTATAAACAACTAAAATGTGCTTATCTCTTGTTTTTTTGTTTGTTTTTCTTTCCAAACATAACACCAGTTTTTACACATCCTGTGGGATGGACTCAAAATATTTACTTTAGTGACTTTGCTGTATGATTGAAACTCAATGAAAAACTTTAGCCTGACACACATTTACTAAACACTTTACTGATAACTGAAGAAAAATAAACAAAGGATAAGTCAAAGCTTCAGTTTTTATGTTCAAATTAATAAAAAAAAACGTTCATATTATCTTTGTAATAGTTTATTTACATGCATGTGTGCATACAGATAAAATGCTGCTGCTGTTTTTGCACTAATGACATTTTTTAAATATTTCTTTTGACTTTAAAATAAAGAAATTTATAAAAAAGGCACATTATGAAATGCATAAAACTTAATGTGTCATCCTTCCACAATGATGAGTCCAGTCTCCTGTTCCCATGGAAACCATTGTCTTGCTGTGCCTTGATGAGACGGGGATAAGTGTGCAATGTTGCAACAAAAAGGTAAACTCTTTATATATTTTCTTCCTTTTTTTTTATCACATTCTGACAAAATATTGATCAAATATTTCTGTGCATCAATAGTAATAAATAAAAAACTGAAATGTGCTTGAAGTGAACTCTGTTTTGTTTTGTTTACTTTAATCCAACCTTTTTATATCAGTACAACAATGTAACAATCAAACACAGAAGGTATTTTAGGGGCCTTAGGAGTCACGTTAAACCTAAATAACAAGTTCAAATATACTTCTGTGTTGTTTTTTTGTTTTTTTTTTGATCATCCAAAAAACTTTTAGGTCCACCTTTTGTAACAGTTGACGTTTAAACTCAATTACACAGACTTTAGAGTGCCAAACAGTGAAAACTCGCACAGATGCACATACAGATAGCATTCAGTCTATGCTGCCTTCAGAATGCATCAACTCCTCACACTATCACTACAGTATAGGTTGTTCTACAGCATCACATTAAACAGCCTAGACCGGGGTGTATGTGGACGCTGTGTGTTTGTGAAGACTACAGCTCTGTCCTTGGTGACGGCTCATTTCTTGAAACCATCAGGGGCTCCGAGCCCAGAGGACGACAGTTCGATCGGCTGATGAGGACAGGAACGTTCGGTCGTGTGGGTGCCACCTGCACTGAATCACCTTATCCCAGTGTTCCCCGGCCAGCGTCTGAGGCAGCGGCTTGGTCAGGTCACCTGGAGTCAGAAGGTCAGGGTTAGCTGCACATGCTCTGCTGCATTTATTTCTTTCTTTCTCGGCCAATGGAAGGCATCGGTACCTTGAAGGTCGCTGATGATGATTTTGTTGTCGTAGGAACCGGTGAGGAGATGATGGGCTCCAGGTGAGAAGCGCACAGAGCGAATGTCGCTGCTGTGGGGGCGGAAGGTCTGAACTATGCGTCCGCCTCGGATGTCGTACAACATGCAGGTGCTGTCCTCCTGACCGGTGGCCAGCAGGCGGCCGCTTGG